CAAGAGCAAGAGGAGGGAGTGGGAGGGGGAGGAGGAGGAGGAGGAGGAGGAGGAAGAGAAAGAGAAGAAAGAGAAGGAGAAGAAAGCATTAGAGCAGGGGTGTCAAACTGCTGGCCTGCAGGCTGGTTGCATCATACAGAGGCTGTGCCCACCCCAGCTCTGGCAATGCAAAAAAAGTCACGATACATGACGTGGCGAGTTTGACACCAGTGCACTAGAGCATAATATATAGGATATAAATTTATTTACATTTATAAGCATGCCTATACTATGGTTAGGGCCAACATGTTTCTGAGTAGCATCACTGTAACATTACAGAACTTCACTTTTTTTTTTTATTCAGGGCAAGGGTGATTTTTGGAGGGAACATCTTGAATCAGTTGAGTCCATTGCAATAGAATTGCTTTTGGGTCAAGAAAAAAAAAAAAGGCTGGACAACTGTAAATTCACATTAATAAATATATATTGAATTGAATTATAGTCTATGCCATCTATACCAGATTGTTTTTCTTCTTTGAATTCAGCACTCACAAATATGTGTGTGTGTGTGTGCGTGCATACTCTTACAGAGAGTTTAATAGTAATCCAAGATACCTGGTAACTTTATTTGCAGGGTTGTTTGATAAGAGCAGGTAAGCCATGTTCAACTTATGTGTTGATGGTATAATACTTTAATCATTATAGATTAAGCTGAATGCTTGGCATCTAGCCAGAACATAATTCTTTAAAGTGGATGGCTGTACTGTGAGAAAAAGCCTAGAGCAAGGGAGGAGAATTTCAGCTATTACATTTCTGTAAATTCACTAGGGAGCAGTATTGGCACATTTAAACATACATGCAACTGAAATTGCAAATCATTCCTCAGAACTTGTAATATGGCAAAATTAGCTGAACTTTTTTGGCACCAAAATATTTTAATTAGGTGAGCAAATAATTTATACAAGGCTACATTTGCCTGTTTTTTCCAGAAATGGGTTCAATTGCTTGTGGTTTATCTCACAGGTTCAATGAAAATTTAACTTACTAGTTGCTCCCAACTCCATTTCAAATGCATGCTGCCTTCCTGGGCTTTTGACTTTTTTTCAAGGTTTATTGTGGGATAGGATCCTTTAGTGAACAACAAATTAAGTTAATGAATGTAGAGTTACCTAAAGCTCTTTCTTCTATAATCTTCGTACTGCCATCCAGCATTTCATTGCCTTACAAATTAGTCAAATCTGAATTTCCTGAATTTTATTTGAAGACAGGTATAACTTTTTCCAGAATTTGTCTTTTTTTTTTTTTTTTGCATTTAAGAGTTCTTTTTTATGTAGTTTTACAGAATTTCCTTGCTTCAATGCAAGGCATGGGTTCAGGAGTTTAAATTCCTTGTAATTTCAGTAAGTGATTTGCTTATTTTAAACTGCTTCTGTTTTCCAGTATATGGAGGGTGGGCATTTTAATAATGTAACATACATGTAAAAATCCTAATCTCTTTCCTAATGTCATTTCCTCTGTGACAGTGAAGATATTGTTGGGAAGAGAAAATTCAATTTCCTACCCAGGCACCCACTTTACTCTGTAGAAGGCAATGTGACAGCTAGAAAAATTTGGTGGTTAAATTAATATTTGCTGCAGAAATGCTGTGATAATTCAATGATAAATTTGAAAAGATTTTAGCTGTGATTGGAGCAGAATTAATGATACGTACAGAAAATAAAGTATGCTCTTATTCAGGCTGGTTTTCAGTCCATACAAAATTAGAAAGTGATCACTCTGTGTCGATGTTTCTCAGTCCCAGGAACTTTAGATGAGTGGACTTCAATTCACAGCCAATCAACACATTTTAAAATTGTCGAGATCGAGAAACATTACCCAATACCATGGACATTCCATTTCTACTGCTATAGTATGAGTTTGTCTTCATCTACTCCAGTAACACATATCCAGATGTCATAAACTTCTCATTGCTTGATGCTTTGCTTGATCTATTTGACAATAATTATTAAATAGATTACAGATTAATATATGGATATCAAACTCATTTTGTACTGTTCACCCATATTTTAGGAACACTGAGATTATCTAGAATCTGATGAGTAGGCAGCATGTTCATAATTAATTACATAAATCTACTTCTCTTTCTCTGTGAGTGTTGCAACAATTGCTAGCTGTGAGAGAATTTGAGGGAGCTAAAATATAGACAAGCAAAAATAGATGAAACTAGGACGCAAACAAGGCATTCATGTTATTTTTTTCCAGTCTTCTGATTTTTAAATTGTATGGTAATTTTTTTTTCAAGATATATATTTGTTTTGTTTGAATGGGCAAAAACAAATTAAACATATTGCAAGATAACTGGCCCTTTAATCATTACTTCAAATTTGCAAACTATACTTCTTTAAAATATGTTGTTCAAAAATATTAATTCAGACTTATTTTCTTCTGGAGAGCAAATCATTTTAAGTAACTATATCTACATTAACAAACAACAAGGTATTTCTTCAGAATATACCAATCTTGCTCTGTGAATGTTGTTCCCGTGCCACCAAATCATGTTTCAAGTGTATTTTCTTGGGATCTTTTGAAGAGCCCAATAAATTTGGAACAGTTATTGATTTTTCTTCCTGTGCTAGAGTTGTGCTATAACGGCTACTATTGGAAGGTCAGAATTTTGATTGATTACCAAGTTTTGACAGTATAATTTTATTTATTTATGTATTCAAAATGAAATTCTCTGGTGTTCTATGTTAAGAATGTGTAGGTTTGCTGATGAAATATTTTTGTTCCACGTCTATTACTGAACTGAGCAGTTACACTAATGCCATATATTAGTAAAAAGCTAATGGCTTTACTAGACTCTTACTCTTACATTAATGTCATGTAGTTTAAAAAGCTACATGGTTTTGCTAGACTATTACTCTTATATAGATACTATTTCACATTAGAGATAATTTGTTGTTGATGATGTGATAGCAGTTAGCATGGGTATACTGGTATTTACTAAAGTAGTGAAGAATATCATTTACAGGTCCCTAACACAATTCTGTTGCATATTTGAATGTGTTTTCGATGATGTCTGTCAATGTGGTGCAACAGTTTCAACCCTTCTTGGAATGACACAACCTTCTCTTAGTTTCATTGGTTTAGTCACCTTGTGCCTGGACTGGTGCAAGACGCTTCATGTGCAGCTGACATTTTAAAACTATCTTGAAAGTACAGCTGGTCCAGAAAGTGGCAGCTCATGTAGCGGTGCACATTTCATGTGATCCTACTTGAAGAGTTCCATGACTAGTTGTGGTGCTGGTTGTGTCTTTTAAAGCTATTCCTTACACAGGGTTTGGGTTTATTAGGGACTGCCTTATCCTAATTAGTTCTATTCTGTAGGCTCACTTCATGGCCTTTCACTTAGACCAGGTGTGGCCAACTTATGGATTGCAGGCTGCGTATGGTCCTGGACAGTTTGTAATGTGGCCCCATAAGATCAAAACATTTATCATTATTATGTGATGTACACACATTAACTATATCATATATATTTATATATAAAGTTAAAGGTTTTCCTCGTCCAGTCATTTCTGACTCTAGCGGGCAGTGCTCTGTTTTTTAGCCAAAGGAGTCATCGTTGTCTGAAGACATTTCTGTGGTCATGTGGCCAGTGTGACTATACACCAAGATACAGAGAACACTATTACCTTCCCATTAAAGTGGTGTTTGTTTATCTACTCGCATTTACATGCTTTCAAACTGCTAGGTGGGCAGAAGATGAGGCAAGGAATGGGAGTTCACTCTGTTGTGTGGCCCTGGGGTCTCAAACCTGGACTGTCAGCTTTCCAACTGGCAAGCTCAGCATCTTTTAACTGCTGAGCCATCATACTAATCTTTCCCCCATTCCCATTTTATATGTAACCCAAGACAATTCCTCTTTACTCGTTATGGCATAGGCAAGTCAAAAGATTGGACACCCACAATTTAGACATTGTTAATTTCAGGGGCTTCGGAGGCAGGTTTTTTTTTTTTTTCAATTGCTGTCCCCTTTCTTTGAATAGCATTCCCCTGATATCTGGACATTCTGGGTTTCAGAAAAGCCACCAAAAGCTGACTTTTTCAGCAGGACTTGGACATGAGAATGTTATGAGCCACTTACTCCAGTAATCTGGAGATAAATGAATGTAGAATTTTATTTCATTCAATTGCTGCCTTTGTTTTATTCTTTTATTAATGTTTTCACATTTACATAAATACAGTAGGTAAGGTCCTACAGTAGGTAAGGCCCATGTTTCATGCTAGCAATTGCAATAACTTGAATCTTAATTTATGTGGAAAAATGTATGGCAAGTTTTTGAATGAGATTCCCTGCAGATACACATTCTGAAGATTATCACTACATGTGGAAGATAGCATATTATTATGTCATATGACAAGATATGCAACAATGACCTAAATGGCATTGTTTGATCTTGTTACAGAATCTCTCTTCTACAAAGAGGCAAGCTAATTGAGCTTGAGATCGCACATCACATATCACTATTGCTGAACACATACTTGATTGCATAAGCAAAAGTTAGGGCATGCCACTTCCTATAATAGAGGTACATCTAAAAGTTGCCACTAGTGATAGAAGGTGATATATAGGGAACAATAATGTCAACTCAATTTAATTAATGCTCAGTTAATATACATTAAGTAAAATAGAGTCTGCTTTCTGACTTTGTCCACTTTTGATTCACTTTGTCCATTTGGAGTGGAGGGGAAGAGAGATGGCTCCTCAAATTATTGTCTTGAAAAGATTATATATCTCTTTTGTAAAGTAAAAGTCTTTACTATATAACATTTCCCCCAAGATATCTTCTGCACATTATATGCAATTTAATTGCTGTAGCAAAAAACTATTTTTTTCATAGGAAGGCCTAAAATATAGAGCATCACTATATTTATCAAAAGAAGCCATTTTAAAATACTGTAAATGGAACATGTTTGCAGACTTCAATGGAGATTATTGATAATGACTATAACAACACTTTTATAATTTGCAAATAGTGGAAAAGTTTATTAAACTACTCAAGCTAAAAGAAAACACAGTTTGAGGTGTACTTCAGAAACTTGCAAAAAGAAAAGAAGATAGAAATTAGAAAATTTTAAAGAAAAAACTTATTGCTTTTTTAAAAAAAGAATGATTTCTACGTCTAGCTCTTGAAGAAGCTCTTTCTTACTTCTGTGTTAGAAAGTTTATAAAATGGAAAGTTATTTTTGCAGTTTACTGGTATTTATTTAGATGGCTTCTCTTCGACTGATTTGACTTGGGAAGAAACAACTCTGCCATCGACCATTTCCTCTACGATTGTCTTAACCATTCTGGTTTTTGTTGACTCTGAAATAAAATACATACAGCACAATGTTATTTATTTCTTTATTAAATTTATATAGCCACATAACTCACCAAAGGCAATTCTGGGCAGTGGACAACAGTGGATAAAAACAGAAAATATAAAAGCACCAAAAACAAATATAAAAGCCATAGTAATAAATATCATAAAACCCAAAAATAAAAACCATAGATGAAGAGAGAATGAAAAATAGCGCAACAATGGAGGCCTCTAGACAATCTATAGCTCTGTGGGAAGCTCCAGGCATGGTCCCATAACTGTATTGTGGGCCTTTTGGAATAGCAAAAGAGATGAGGCCAATTTTTTTTTTTTTTTTGGTAGGGGAGATGTTCTATAAGGCAGGTGCCATGGCAGAGAAGGCACATGTCCTGGGACCCACTAAATGTAGATCGCAGCCGATGGTACCCACAGCATTCCTTCTCTGTAAGATCTAAAGAGGTAGGTTGATAGAAGCAAGGAGAGGCAGTCCCTCAAGCAACCCAGTCCCATATCATGTAGGGCTTTAAAGGTTAAAACACCTTGAATTGGACTTGGAAGCAAACTGATCAGAAATAATCATATGGGTGCTCTAGACAATGACATGCTTTTATTTTTTTTTCATATTCATTTTACAGTCTATAGATATAGACCATTATCAAATATCAGAGGTTAATTCTCCTAACAATATGTGATAATTAGCAGACTCATTATGGTGAATAAGACCTGGGTTGCCAGTTCCACCTGAAACTGTGGAGGAATGAAAGAATAAGGCTGTCATAGCGGTTATCAACAGCTATTAGTCATAGTTACTGGGTCCAATATTAAAAAAAATTACTTCTCCACCACTTTTTTCTGTTAGTGTAAATAAGTCCACTGGGGAGAAAAATAGCTGCAGAAAAATGCAGGCAAGGATATGTGTTACACTCTATTAAAAAAAAAATTCCACGTCTGGTTTGAATTGGATACTTCTGCTTTTGCTAGGTTCAAACATTAAGATATAATATATACTTTTATATTTTTGATTACTGTTATGTGTGAATCTGGTCAATATATCCTGTTCCACAAGATATAGTTAAAAAGAACGACGACTCAGTGTCATGTGGTAATTCAGCCAATATTTTATTCAACACTAAAAAAATAGGTTTTGGTATTGCATTAATAATAAGGATGAGTAGTTAAAGTATCTAAAACCAAACTCATTAATATGGGCAAATCTGCAGTATTTTCATAAGTCTCAAGTATATGGAACAGGTATTATACCATTTTCCAAGGTGAGCAGATCAGGAAAGAGGCATAGTAAAGGTAATGCTCTTTATTTTAATAAGATACAATACCAGAGTTGAAAGCCAGTTCTAGTTCCTCTCTTCCCATCTTATACTAAACAAACTCAAGGCAGGGTTGTTTTGAATTTCTCTTCTCAGGATTATATACTCTATTTTACTAATACCTCCTTGGTGGCTTGTTTAGTCCCTTAGTATGTCCATTGCTAACTCTGTACCATATTCCTTTACACATAGCTTCAATACTCAACAGAGAAGCATCTATTATTTGGTAATGATTTGGTAATGATGAGAGGCAGAAGTATAATATGTATGAATTTGATAATTATTGTTTTTCCCTGGGGTAGGTTAGGGTCTTCTAAATGACATGGTCATGCCAGCAAAGGGGTTACCCCTGTATGCCCAGCTTCCTTGCAGCCATGGTCTCCAACACACCTAGCTTCACCCTTTGGGGGGGGGGGGGAGGACCTAGCTCCACTGTGTGAGAGCCTCCATTCAAAGCAGATCTGGAATAGGAAACATCAAGATGAAAGGGGAAATTACAAAAATACTGCAAGGTATTTGGGCATAGGAGAGGCAGTATACTGTTAATATGAAAGAAAATAGCAGGAAGTCAGTACTGCAAGCAAGATTTTATAGAAATATATGCATTACCTTTCACAGGAAGTCCTGAACTGTAGACAGTTGTTGAATATCTTCTGTAAAGAAAGAATTTATTTTTTGTAAATATATAGCTCTTTCTCTTTTTTGCAAAGCATTTGGGCTTTATAAAAATCTTGTTCTTCCCCTGTGTGATCCTCATCATTGTCAACTTCCAAATGTGGATATCACAGTGCTGGCATTTCTTCCAAGCTCATTCATTCTCATCAATTATCTTTTCTCCAACTATCTACTATCTTGAATTGCTAGAAAATTCTTATCAGCTTGACATTGACTGTCCCTATTGCTGATCCCTGTTCTGCCCTTATTGCATCTGTTTTAAATCAGTTTAATTACTGCTTCTGTCTAAGGTGACAAAGCCTAATAGATTTTCTATATCTTGAGTTTTGGATGGTGTTGGAAGAACAGGGAAAATATTTTTTAGCATCAGACAGCTAAGATTGACAGTACAACTAAGCCTGCTCACGTATGGGTTGGGAACATGCTATAGGGACATAGCAGGATAATTATATTGTTAGGGCACTTATGAGCTGAGATTAGATGCAAGAGGGAAAAGGTGATCTGGAGCTGCCCGATCATGGAAGGCCTGGGACTAACTTTGGGAGAGAGACTCTTTTGAGATCACCAGGGAAAATGGGAGGTGGGAATTTTGGTATGGTCAACCAGTCTATGCTTCCCCTCTATGGAAAAAAAGTATGAATTGGGTAGAGGGAACCACAGCAAAGTTATACTGTGGAGCATTTGTTCCAAACATGTCAACAGCTCAGAACAAACAGCTAACCTTCTGAGGTAGCGAAGGGATGGATTTGTCACAAATGAAGTCAAAATATACATGTCCCAGGATAATGTGGCAGGATCCAATCTGGGTTCTTCACCAGGATCAGAGGTTTAGTCTTCTGAGCTTTTGGACCCATGCTGGAGCCCATCCTCCGGGAACTTCTCTCTCTATCAGAATGGGTCGATTTGTATGTGTTTAAAATGTGCAAGTGCGGTTTTATGATGATGGATGAAGTATAACCCCTGTAGGGTAGGAGTTCTTGTATATGCTATGTTTGGCTTTTCAGCATGTAGCTAAAGATAGGAATAACATTACTATGACCAAATTTTGAGAGTAATTATTATACCAGTACATTCAGTATATTTGAACAGAATAGATGCTCTCCAAGTCCCATTTATTAAATGTTGTCATCTTATGGGACCCAAGAAACATGCTTTTTCTGTTATAATAGTCTGATTGGTCTCTGCTTAGGGTTAATGTTTGGGTCTGGGGTGGGGGGTGGGGGTGTTGTGCTTTGTTTAAATGGTTTTCTTTGATCTGAACTGCCTTGTTTTATGTTTTAATTGTTTTAATTTAGTATTATATTTTGTAAGCCATCCGGAGTCCATTAGAATGAGTGGGTATATTAAATCTAATAAATCATCATCTTATTATTCATGTTTCAGTTATTTTGGAAAGGGTTTCTCCTACAGAAAATAGAAGTGATTCATGTGTACCGTGTAAATTGTCACGTGGAACATACTACAGGCTCAAAGCTTCAAATTTGTTCTGAAACTAATCAGATGGTGGGGCTGGTATTTATATATAGTGAGATCAAATGTCGTAATAAATGTGTTTTCCAGATGCTATCACACATTTTACTCTATTATGATGTAAGAATGTATTTTTTTCAATTATATATGCTGCAAACTCCTTACCCCCCTTCTCCATCCAATAGGCAGTGGTAGGTCTCAATCTCCTTTTCCAGACGTGACTTTATTCCTAACAGTTGCTGATATTCGGCGTTTTGGTTTTCCATATCTGACCGGATCTGTAGGAGTTGTTCTTCAAAACTACTGATCTGAAGCTGTATTTGGCCAAGCTGATCACAGTAATTTCGTTCTGTTTCTGCTAAAGTGCCTTCAAGAGATTGTTTCTGTTGAGAGACAGGCAGAGGAAAAATAAAGCATCAATTACTGAAATAAACAATTGGAAGGAAGGTCTGGATTGCAAGTCAATATTTAAAATAATATTATGACTTATGATTCTATGTGGTAGTGAGTGGTTGAAAGAATCATTCATGTTCTATTGCACTTTTAAGCTAATTTTTCTTTCTTTAGTAGTAACTCTACCACTAGGACAGATTTTATATAACTTTTATTTTGGCCAATTGGAATTACTACTCTATATACTTTATATATCATCTCCAAATTTTGCTTGCTAGCTTTTCAAACACAGTGGATGACGACTTCTTTGGCATGAACTTTAAGATTATTACTTACATTCTTAATTAATCATAATAAATTTTAATTTGTAGGTATATATGTCATAAGGACTCTGATGTTTTGTTTGTCTGTTTATTTGTTTTTAAGTGTGCTGGCCTCTGGCTGGAGTAAAATTTGATTGATATACATCCTTTCAAATGAATCATGCAAAATGTCCTTATCTATAATTTGTCAGTTGGAAGGACATTTACCAGGACAAAGCTGTAATCTCATGTTAACATGGAAATAAATCTTATTAATTTCAGTGTGATTTAGTTCCAGATAAGTGGATATAATCCACAGGTAGTTGATTAAGCTAATCAACTCTGGTTAATTCCAGAAAACTGAGGGGGAAGATGGACTACCAGGCTGTAGGTTAGGCAGAGAAGTTGTACCACTCCAATGTTTTCATGAAAAAGAAATCAAGCTGTATGGAAGTACACTTACCATGGCCATCTGAGCCTGAAGCTCCAGTTCCAAGCCTTGCATGGTGCGCCTCAGTTCAGTAATTTCACTTTTGCCTGAACTCAATTGGTCCACGTTGGCAGATATCTCTTGCCTCAATGCTCCAACCTAGGGAGGTCAGAGAACAATATTTAGTGGGATAGATAGAACATTTCCCATGTTTGACATTCAAGTAGATGGCTCTTGCCTGTTTGTTGAACTGTTCTTCTGCTTCTCTCCGGTTTTTGTCTGCAAGTTCTTCATATTGGGATCTCATGTCATTCAGAAGTTTAGTCAAATCAACTCCAGGAGCAGCATCCATTTCCACAGTGACATCACCACTGACCACTCCTCGGAAACTCTTCAATTCCTGTGGTAGAGAAGTGTGGGGAATTTTTAATAAGTAGATTTGTCACATTGTGACAATTATATGATGGAATTGATGGACAACAAAGGAGATGTTGTATTCTGGATAGTTCTAATGCTATTTTTATTCTTATGCATCTTCCCCATTTTATATATAGAAAAACATTCCTAGATGAATCTTCCTTCCTATGGGTGATATCTAGCATCTAATGGAAGAACAACAATTTAGAGAGTACTAACAGTGTGCCACATATAGCTACATCCTACCACAGAGGGAAATAGCAACTGCTACCTTTTGGCATCTGCTGTCTGAGGCAATTGCCACGTTAGGTTTAGCAAAACCCATTTAAATGATTATGGGTTTTTTATTTATTCAGTTAGTAAGCTACCAAATCATTATGATCTAAGACAAGATTCTAAATTTAAAAACAGTCCTAAATAAATAAATAAAATCAAAACTCATAGTTCATATGAGTTCACAAATTACCATGGACCAGATCCTACTGGAAGAACAGGATTCCTAAAAAATAGCTGGCCTTCCAGGGTTCAGAGGCAATAGGCCTAGAAGGGCTGAGGCACTGAGGGTCCAGTGTGACACTGTTGTTTAAGGAATCTGGAGCATGATAAATGAATCCTCATTTATTATGGAATGGGCAGAAACTACTGGAGAATTTTGCTTTGCAATTCAGTTTTTCACTGAATTCTTTTTTTATACTCTCAGTGAACTGTCAGCAGTCTTAAGAAAATAGTTTAACCAGGGAAAATATTTTGATCCTGAATTACAGTTTTCTCTATCCGTCCTGTAAAAAATTTGACTCTACTTTTACTGAATTTGAAGATTCATTCCTAAAGAGGCATTGGTTTTATTTGTGGATCTATCTATCTGTCTGTCTGTCTGTCTGTCTGTCTGTCTGTCTATCATCTATCATCTATCTAAGCTGTGACTGAATTCTGTTGTAATATTTGAAGATCATGGGTTCCCCACCACTGTTCTAAGTGATATAACTAGAGAGGGAGTATAGAAGCTGTGAATAAAGAAAGGGCAGATTTATAGAGGGAAACCAAAGCAACGTTTTCAGGGGTTCTTGGTGCTCTCTGGACTTGGATGTTTACTTGCAGACATTTCTTTACACAAACTAGTCAGTATGATGTTACCTAGTTTGCATAATGAAAAAAACAACAACAAAGCTCAGAGAGCACCAAGGTCCCTCATTTCTACTCTGTGCTACAAATATTTTCCTTTAAAATGTTTTCATTTAGCCACTAGATGGCAGGCAAAGCTGGAGTAGAGAATTGTCATTGCTTTTTAGAAAGGGGAGAAGAGGTTAGAATGAGAATCTCCTACAGTTCATTTTAGCAGTGTATAAATTTACCATTTCAAAGCAACACATTAGTATCTACACACTCTATTGTGGTTGTAGTTTTTCAACAACTAGGATTTTTCAAAGCATCAACATTTGGCATGGAAAACCCTTGAGAACATATTTAGAAGCAAAGACAATTAACACACTTTATGTCTTTGTACACTATCTTCTTAAATAAACACTTAAAACTAATATCTGTTTATTGTCTGTCATTAATCTACTTTGCACCTTGCCTAGTAAAAGTCCTTTCCCCCCTTTTCCCCTTCTCTCCAAATTCAAGAGGTGAATGCCATTTGCTACCAAGGGTGCAGTATTGCCAGTGGCAGATTCGTTTCCAGGTTTGGAAAAATCCTGGACACAGGGCATTCGCTTCTTCATGAGACAGAAACCTGAAAACCTGCAACAAGTGTGTGCAGCTGCAGCAAAAGTGCTGAGCATTTGAGTTTTCTCAGGCATATGCATTTAATCATTGTTTCAGTGTGTTGAAATAGTGCTATAAAAAAGAATTATTTGTGGAGAATTGTAACTAAATTCTACTCAGTACCAAAACTTCCCTGCTTTCTCCCCAAAACCCGGTTGCCAGAGATCACTCCCTATCATTGGGATAAGAGCTGGGGACAGAAATTCATCTGCATGAGCAGGAAGATCTGGAAAGTGACACTGTCACTGTTCCTTTTCAACAAAAGGGAAGCGTTCCTGTTAGACTTAAAATCTAACACCAGCTATCACCAGTGTCAGGAATATATCCCCAATAAAATATCTCCCAGAAGCTTTAGAAGAACCTTTCTCCCACCTCTTCATGGTTCTTCTTCAGGTAGACAAGTTCCTCAGACAGGCTCTCAACCTGCAACTCTAGATCTGCTTTATTCAAAGCTAAATCATCCAAGACTCTGCGTAAGCCATTGATATCATTCTCCACACTTTGGAGCAGGAACAACTCATTTTCATACCTTTAAAGTTGATAGAAGAATGACATTTTAGCAATAGCAATAGCACTTAGACTTATATACTGCTTCATAGTGCTTTACAGCCCTCTCTGACCGGTTTGCAGAATCAGCGTATGGCCCCTAACAATCTGGGCCCTCATTTTACCGACCTTGAGAAGAATGGAAGGCTGAGTCAACCTTCAGCTGGTCAGGATCAAACTCCTGGCAGTGGGCAGTGAGTTAGCCTACACTGCACTACCACAGCTCATTTTCATTTATAGTCATCATTTAAAGAATACAGATGGATTTATAATCAAGTACGATTTAAAAAACTGAATAGGTCGTAGGTTGGGGTAAACACAGGGCTTTTTTTGTCATAGAACGCCCAGAACGGAGTTCCGGCACCTTTTTTGGATGGAACCTTGTAGGGTAGGCAAGGCAGGTTGTATGACGTGTGTGAGTTCCAGCACCTTTTTTTTTTTTTTTTTTACAAAAAAAGCATTGTTTAAATACATGCCTTTTCTTTTCCTTTCCTGAGTAAAATTGTTCTACTTACTTAAGTTTGAAATCATCAGCAGCTAGTCGAGCATTATCAACTTGTAATACAATCCCAGCATTCTCAACTGTATATCGACTTATCTGTAATCAAATGTTTAAAAGAAATACATTCATTCCCTGAAATTCTGAACACTTTGCATCTAAGATTGAAAGAATAAAAGAACATAGGCATGCACACAGATATACATACACATGCATACACACAGATACACAGATACAGAGACATAGACACACAAGAATCATATTTACTCTTGCTATCTAAGTTATTTAAATTCAGCATGCACACAAAATATACATGGGGATAGCTAACTTATTTCAATTCAGGAGTTAAGTTCAGTAACTAAATTAAAAAATCTAAATCAAAATATGCTAAACCAAGAACTGGACTCCCACCAAAGGCTGAATCATAAATGACCTCATTCTGTCTTCACCTAGCCCTTAGTGTGCTCAATTGATGTGTGCAGTTAATCTACCACTTCAACTTTCACAGGCTCTAGGAAATTTACAGGTATTAAATATCAGTTAGAATAAAAAATAAACTTTATGTCAGTAACACAAATATAATAAATAATATATATATAAAATAAGAATATGAATCTATCTATTCTGGAACTTGATTTTCACACCATAATTGTCAAAAAACCAAGTTTAATTTTAAAATGTCCAAGGAAGACAGAGTGTGAATGAAATGCAGCAGGCATTCAATCGTGTATTATTCTCCTGTTGCCTGAAAGAAATGGCTACTTGAGGGATGTAGGAAGCTTTACTAGCTAGCTATTCCATGCTGCAAAAGTGAACCATTACTATAGTAACTTAATTAGGAAGTGTAAAAAGGTATTGTGGAAAGTTACTGACTATTTACTGAGTCTGGAAAGAGTGTCAACTGAAGTCAGAATACTTTGTGAAAGTACTTTAGCTACTTACCTGGTTCCGAAGATCTTCAATGATTTTAAAATACTTGCTGTAATCACGATCAGTGTCCGTGGCACTGAATTTGCCATACCATTCCTTGATTCTGAGTTCTAGCTCAGCATTTGCCTCTTCAAGAGCATGCACTTTGCCCAAATAGTTAGCAAGGCGGTCATTAAGATTCTGCATGGTTTGCTTCTCATCACCTGTGAGGAGACCTCCATCTCCTCCTCCCATGCCAAAGCCACCACCAAAGCCACCTACAAAACTGCTGCTGGCAAAGCCACCACCCATGCCAGCACCATATCCTCCAGCAAGGCTTCCTCCACCAAAACCCCCTCCACTGTAACCTCCAGCAAACTTGGAACCACCACTAAAGCCTACACCACTTGACAGTCTAACAGATCCTCCACCTCCACCTCCAATACTATAGGACGAAATCTGCCGAGAAGAACCCGAGGTGAGGACAGAGAGAGCCATAGTGCTTGAGCAAGAAGGATGGCCTATGCTGTGCCAGTAAGCAAGCTGATTTAGAAAGAGTGCCTTGGGTTGGTGGGCTTTTGAAGTTTATATATCAAGCTAATGGGGTGTATTGTTTCCACCCTATCACAGCAAAAAGGATCTTTTGCCAAGCCAAAAGTGTAACGTCCATGACCAGATAATTATTTTTTCTAATTAAAAAGTGATGTTATCAGCTCCAACTTTTCAGAAATATGTTCCCTTGGGTTATTTGTTGTGCCAGCTTTCTGGATCAAGTGGGATGGAAAAAAGCCAGATCTGTTTTACTTTTCTTTTTATCCTTAAAATTGATGAGCTACTCTTTTTGTCTTTTGCTCCTCAGCAACACTTTCTTTTAACTTTAGATTGCATTTCTGCTCAACAGCTCCAGCCCCAAGGCATAGCTCTTTTAACTGAAAGAGGAAGCCAAACAAAGCTTCAAGGAACGTGTATGAACAACACCAATAGTATTCCATTACATTTGGTAAGGATTTATTTCCCCCTTCTTTTTTAATCTAACAGAAATACAGATCTTAAATACCTTGTCATTACTTTGGCTCAGACCTTCATAGCTGATATTAAAAATCTTTGATGTTATATTGGAATTCATAATTTGATGTGCAGCCTGTCTTTGCAAGTTCTTGGAGATGGGATGGGAACTGAGATTAATAGACTCAAGAATTTTTCTCTCACTGTAACTCTAAGATGGAACAGAATGAGTTATTTTAGATGGTGGATCACCAATATTTTATTTCCACTAATTCTTCTGCAGATACTATTTTCAGCATTTTCCAGCAAATCATCTTTAATATTGCAGTTTCTTCCTTTGCTTCACTATGTTATGTGTCTTGGTTTTAATGTTCTGGCCAACATTTTAGAAAGCTTTGTATCCCAGATCATCTATTCTTAAATTTCTCCTTTTTATTTCATATTAGCTCTTATGTTGCTCTTGAAATCAAGCTAAATTGGGATATATAGAAAAAAAAAGAAAGGAAGGAAGAAAAAACTCCTTCTCACCCGTAAGGAGGGGTATGTGTCTTCCTTAATGCTGACATCATGTGTTAAAAACAGTTTAAATGCATATACTAAAGATAGTTTAATCATTATGGGTACTTCTACATAAGATCTTTGTTGTAGCACTGCCATGACATTTTACTTTAAAGGAGCTTCTGGATCTTGTTACCTTACATTAGGAATCATCAAGGGTCTTCCTAGCCTTTTCCATGTTTATTTGCTTACCAAAATAAAATGGATAGGAAGAAAAGTCAAAATATCTACACATTTGAATTAAGTAATCAGAAACCTCTGGAAAGATATAAATGTTTTCTAACCTGTTTGCCTTGAGATTTGAAAATTCCACATTCTGAAGTATCGCTTGTGTCTGGAGATATTAGGAATGATATGCTAAATATGATATCAGTTAAGATAGGGATGTGCAACAGGAGAGTGTATATCTTGTTGAACTCTTATGCATATCAGCTATAGCCACCAGGGTCAATTGTGAGGAATGATGCAAGCTGCAATCCAACAATAGTTGGATGGCCACATGGCTCATCCATGGCGTAAACAAAACATGCTCATGGGATGATATAGGAGATAAATCAAACAAGGTAATTGTCTCTTAAAAACTTCATTCAGAAGCATCCCATCTTTGCAGCATATTTTTTCTGCTTCCATTGTGGAAGAAAAAAGTTAGAGGCCTGCATAATAGTTGATTTATATTCCTTTTGGTTTCTTTCCATGCCTCAGAAATCACATTTGGCTTCTCTCTAATCAGTTTCTTCTTTTTTATATTGAGTAGCCAGGACTGGATTTGAGTAAGATGATAGAAGCTCTCTTTAATGAATTAGCTCTTTGTCTCTTTCCATTTACTTCACTTTTGGGGAAAAAATAGTCCATTCTAGAAACATGTACAGCATTTCCCCACTTCACTGCTCTCCTTGTAAGCAGTCTTGGCCATTTATCAACACTTTTTCTCAGCTGCATAAGATCAAAGGAGCATTTCAAGTATCCATTAGGCAAAGAGGGGAAAGTGACACCCTTTTTTATTGCAGTACTGTTGAGTTGTAGCACGTTGCATCATGATACTTGCTTGTAAAGAATGCCTTAGAGTGTAAAACAAAATACTTTTTTCTCAAGGGCCAAAGAAATGTCTATATGCCTAAGTAATTATTATTTCTCCTTGTCTAGATTTGTTCTAGGTATACTTTCAGCCTTTTGCTGACAATCTATTGTTCTATACTAAAATGCAATTGCTGAGAATTATATACTGATTAATCTATCTATGCATTATAAATGTTTACTATTTATGTTAAGTTTCTTGCTGTGTTTGGTCTTGGAAATAGTAAGCTTAAGTTATGTGAGGTTAAATTTATTCTACAATTTGCACCAACAAGTGTAATTGATGCACTGAATTTTATTAAGCTGTTTATTTTCAGAAAATATTTTCTGTAAATGTGTGTCCCTAATATCTGAATAAATTGCTAAATGATAAAGTTTTTGGTTGCATGCAATGTTGTAAATGTGAATTAGTTCCCAGGGGTATTTGCAAAACTAGTGAGGTGGTTAAGATTTGGAAGAATCTATATTATTCATTGCACAAATTTGTCTACTGTGCTAATTGCAATCTTTCCTGGACTAGGGGCCCGTGCTTATAGTTACTCATGTCTTGGTCACCTCCCATTTGGATTACTGCAGTGTACTCTACATGGCAAACTTCATCTGATCTGGAATGCGTCAGTGTGGTGGGTGCCTCTAGTAATACAAAGTAATACATTTGTTGTGTGAGCTTCAGCTGCAATTCAAGGTGCTGGCCATCACCTTTAAAGCACTATATGGCACATGGCCAGATGCCTCTAAGGACATCTGCCCATCCTAATGGATTAGATAGTTATACTCTTAGTCCCTTATTTCAGACACTGCCATCTGATAGGAACTAAGAAATATGCCTTATCTGTGGCAGCCCTTGCCTTATGGAATACTTTGCCCCTGAAGTTCCATGGGTCTCTGTAAAGCACTGAAAGCCCAGCTTTGCCTCCCCCTAGTTAGGATAAGATGGTGGCTGCACATCAGAAACTAGGTTGCCACCAGGTTTTGTTCTTATGTATTTGGCTTTAATAGTTTAATATAGTTTTTATTTTGCTTTAATTTTTGATCTAGATGCATCAGTGTGTGAAAGAGCTTGCTAGTTGGTTCTGTGCAGCAGCTTGATAGCCAGTCTTGGTTGCAGTATGATTTCTTTCTGATGATTCCTTGATTTTGATATTTTTTTCCCTTCTCTGATTGTTTATCTTTTCTGTTTCTTACTTCTCTGGATGTTGGATGCAAATAAATAATCAAGAAAAGTACTTCTGAATGCTTGCAATTTGGGTGTCAACCCCACTAGATATACTACACCACAAAAACAACTCTACAGGAAGGCTAAAACTAATTTTATTGAGATTTAGCTCTGATAACAGAATTGTGCAGATCTGACTGTGCTGTACTCCTTCCTGCTTCGTAAAGTCAAGTGAATCATGGCAATGTCTGCCTCAGCCATTTCCAAATGTTATTCTATTTTTCTGCATTAAAAAAAATATTTTGCCCCTTTTGCTTACCTGATAGTAATTGCATAATTCTTGCCATCTTCCATGTTCTCTATATGGGCCCTGCAAAAATACCATGGAGCTTTGCTGCCATGGTGCCTTTCATTATTTGCTCAGTTTTGTGCAACAGCAGAAAAATCATAGCATAAATCATAGTCATTGCAGGGAAATAACTATGTAGTCAGTAGTGTTTCCTACTGAAGAATGTTAGAAGTGGAAATAGGTGTCAGGTATGTGTGAGATTACGCAGGCATGGATCTGATCTGGAAATGATAAAAAAAAAATACTTTGTGTGTGTGTGGATACTACTTCTGTGCATTTTGCTGCAATAATATTTGTTTTCACATTTTATTATTACAGGCTCTCCTGTGCTTTGGTGTGGACAAAATCATAAGGTGTATTTTAGAGAAGATATCAATTTGCTGCTCAGATATTCTGTTAGACTACAAACAGAGAACTTACAGTCTTTCAGCTGTTGTAAATTACAATTCCTAACAGCATTGACTATGTTGCCTATTTGCAGTTGATTCCCACTTCTATCTTAAATATTATTTGTCTTTGGAAATCAGAAGTCCTACTGGAAGTTTGTCGAAACTGCCATACTGTAGACTTTTGGACTGGCATAACAATTCATAGAAATGAGTGATAACTTCCTAATAAGTATGTAGAGTAACATGTAGGGTTAAAGTGGTCATATAGTAAGCAAGGCTGCGTTAAATCAGTCCTCTTCCATAGTGTTAATAGGTTATTCACCCAGAAATCAAAGATTGCCTGGACAGGTCCCTGTACTTTGCTTGGCAAGATTTCAGAAGAGGTTTGCCACTGCCTCTTTCTTAGGCTGAGAGAAAGTGATTGGTTCAAGGTCATCCATTTTAAGGCAGAATTAGAACTCATTGTCTCCTGGGTCCTAGCCTGAAACCTTAACCACTGTACCAAACTGAATTTCACTCAGAATGAAATTAGTCTAGATTATAATAGAAAATAATATGAATCTTTTGAAATAAGAGATATCCTTGGAAATGTATGTGGGAATGGATAAATAGTTGCAAACTGCAAAGTTAAATTGGAAATACCTTTATATATTAATAATCAAGTGATTTTACATGCAGAAATTGCACCATTAACCAACAGACATTAAAGAAAGAACCTACTATAAGTATCTGAATATTTAACATAACCTTCCTCAATCTGATGTTGCCTGTTCCATAATCCTGAAGCCAGTAAGTTGATTAGTGTTCATCAGAATTAAAGTCAAACGCAATACTGATATAAGCTAGCTATAAAGTGATTACATAATAAGCAAAGAAAACAGTTCTATTGAGATATTATCCTGCTAATATAAATGTATGTTTCTTCTTCTGCTTGCAGCATCACCTGAAACCAAGAAATGCTTTTGAAAAAAATCTTGCTATTTTTTTTTATCCCTGAGTTTCTTCAACAGATTGGACTTTGGAGGAAGTTACTCTCCCATATTCATCTAATTCTTCAATGATTGTTTTAATTACTCTGGTTTTCTTTATCTCTAAAAATAAAATAAAGGAAAGAAAAGCAAGAATATAAAAAATGTAAATGGCAACATTATTTACTTAAGAAATTTCATTAATAGGAAAAAACATTTTTAGGCTTCTAACTTCATATCTATATCAGAACATATAAATGTACTTGTCAAATATATAACATGCTCTGCCATAAGCCCAACTGATTTTAATTATTTCTTTCTTTAAATCGAGTTATTTTCTAGGTTTTGTGCCTATTTGGTGCAGGCTGTCTAGGGACTGTAGCTGTACACAAGACACTTCAACTTTCTTCTTCTTCTTCTTCTTCTTCTTCTTCTTCTTCTTCTTCTTCTTCTTCTTCTTCTTCTTCTTCTTCTTCTTCTTCTTCTTCTTCTTCTTCTTCTTCTTCTTCTTCTTCTTCTTCTGCCATATCCATTATCGGACGTTGGCAATCATGTTAGCCATCCTGTTTTTATCAGCAGCCATACGAAAAAGTGCTGCAGAGTTTTGTCCAAACCAATCCCTTAGATTTTGAAGCCTTTTCTTCTTGTTTGAAGCAATTAAATAATGAACTCTTTTTTTGATATAAGAAATTAGAAACCATGGATTTTGATATATGCTTTCAATTGTGCTAAATGATGCTGGAGAAAAAAAGAAGTTTCTGTACTATTTCTGGAAGCTACATTACATAATTTTACAGCAACATTTTTCAGAGATTTCATTTTGAAAATGATACACAAAATTTACATCTCTTACCTTCTTGGAGAGATAGCTGTGTTTAAAGAAATTAAAGAGAAGCAACCTGGAATTAAGGAGAAACTTCCTAACAGTGAGGACAATTAACCAGTGGAACAGCTTGCCTTCAGAAATCCTGGGTGCTCCATCACTGGAGGCTTTTAAGAAGAGACTGGACAGTCACTTTGGAGATGGTATAGGTTTTCTTGCTTGTGTGGGGGGCTGGACTAGAAGATCTCCAAGGTCCCTTCCAGCTCTATTCTATTCTAAATTTCTTAAGAAGTTTAAAAGCTTGCATATTTTCCATGTTACTACAGATATAATTTTGCTATGTCTTTAAATTCTCATAATAACAAATATGATTTTTGGATTCATAATTGGGAGACAAATTATTAAATTAGGGTCAATCACACACTATTCATGTTCATTTACTAAATATGCATTGCCCAAATCATGATAATTATTTATCACATGTTAAATATACATGGTAAATGGAAGGACAGAAAGAAGGAAAAGATATATTTGCTATGCAAACACTACATTATTCCACTGCTAGAGCATAACATTTACTCATGAAGATGAATTTTGGAAATATTAATCCATTAACACTGAGTCTTCAGCATGTCATGACTTATTGAGCAGAGAGAGACTGTGGATATGTAAGGATTTTGTTTGTACTTCCCCTTTGTCTGTCACTGTGCCTGACCTTTACTGAAGTGGTTGCCAGTATTACCTCACTTCCTTTGGTGTCTCTCATCCGAGAGAAAAGGGTACGTGCTCTTAGACTACCTTGCTCCTGAGGTTTTACATTTTTAAATTAATTGTAATGTTGTACACTGATCAGAGTCACTAATGTGTGATTTAGGCACCTATATAAATCTATCAAATAAATAAGTCAAAACAGAAAAGAGGAAAAAAAATGAATAGAGCTCAACCACCATCTTAATCCAAGGCCTGTGAGAACAGTCGGACTGCCCCACTAGATTCCCAGGTAAAACACCAAGCTCCCCTGGAACTGGCTGGTTCATCAGGCCTTCTCTTCCCATGACACAAACAAGCTGAAAAACAACCAGAGCATGTCCAGGCAATGGACAGATGGTAGTGTTCCTCAAAATGAGATCATATTGCAACTGTTCTGAGACAAAAAACAGGTCTAATGTGCAGCCCCTAATATATATGGGGACCATAATGGTTGTAATGGAGACCACAAGCTCCTGAGCTACCCCAGACATAATGCCACCAGGTGGCAAAATGAAGAAATTGAAGAACTTTCTTAAAATGTTTAAAAGCTTGCTTTTTTTCTGTGTTACTACATATATAATTTTGCTAAGCATCTTCAGCCTTGGGAGCTCTGTTGCCAGTCCTGCAATAGAATACAGGAACTCAAATGAATGATAACAGGAGTTTGGAGACAATACATGAGTTTCAACCCCAACTGTTCTATAGAGCCAACTTCATCTGTTTATCTGCAGAGCAAAGCCTCTGAAAGCCCACAACACCTCCCTAGTAACAACTGCTGTCATCCTTCCTCTCTCCTGGAGTCATGGCTAGTGCCAGGCCCAAAACACAAACAGGCACATTTCTGAAAGGAGAACAACCCTCCCTCCAGGACCACTCAGGTCTTGCTAACAAAAGTAGGGTGTGTTAGATACTAGCCCAGGGGTAGGCAACCTTGGCTCTTTTATGACTCGTGGACTTCAACTCCCAGAATTCCTGAGCCAACATGGCTCAGCTTGGAAACCTCTCCTTTTCCCCTCAGCATCGCTGGCTCAGGAATTCTGGGAGTTGAAGTCCACGAGTCATAAAAGAGCCAAGGTTGCCTACCCCTGTACTAGCCTGTCCATATAAGGCATTTCTATTTTTAAATAGTAATTTTATTAACAGTTATAATTGCAACAGTAAAAAGTAATACAAATTGTGGGGATAAAATAGTAGATTGTTATCTCTGGTAACCCTTAATAGACTTGCTGACATCAGGACTGAAATAACAAGGTTTTTATGGATTTGTTTATAGATAAGAGATGGGATATGGGAAGAAGAGATCATTTATCACATTTTAAGAAAAGATGATAAGGTCTGTACAAATTTTAGCATGTTGGGAAAGGCTATAAGGAGTTATTCAGTTTAGAATTCTAGAAAAAAATCACTTATGTGGTGAGGAAATAGAAGTAGAGAACAAAAACTCTGCATTGAATCAGAAACAATCGCAATATTGAATTCCGAAAATATTTACCTTTATCTTCAGTAGTGGATTCAATGTTTCTGGCTTCACTTTTTCTAGAACTGGTCTCTGTGCCAGTCTTTGTACCTCTTACATCAGAGCCTGAAGCTCTTAATCCTGAACCTTTTTCAGATCCCAGATTTTGTGATCCCAGATCTTTGCTACTTCTTTGTCCAGATTCTCTATAATAAGCAATAGTTTGACCATGTTATTTTTAGGGAATAGTATTTCCAAATTGTTATTAGCAGAAACTCTGTGCATAGTCAATAGATCTTTATAAAATGTTCACAATATTAATATGAGGTAACAGAACAGAATTAGAAGGGACAGGAAACCCTATACCAGTGGTTCTCAACCTGTGGGTTGGGACCCCATTTGGGGTCGAATGACCATTTCACGGGGGTCGCCAAACAACGCAGTCCACCATTTTTTCCCCCTTTTCCTTAGCTGTGCTACTCTCTTTTATTCTATTGGCTTTTGAAAGCCAATAGAATAGACTCTCTTGAATAGAGTCTAATTCTATTGGCTTTCGAAAGCCAATAGGAATTGTCCAGGCTGTCTCTGCCCTGCTGAGCCTGCCAAAAGTCCCATTCTGCAAACGGTGCTGCAAGTTGTCTGAAGCGAAGGTGAGCTGTCTGGAAGCTTCCACCCCTCCCTGCTGAGCAACTACTAAAAATGTAAGTAAAAGAGGGCCAGGGGTGGGAGGTGGGAGACCAGCGGATGCAGGAGGGTTGCTGGCATGCGTGGGGCCCGGCGGGTGCCTTACCTCCTTGGGCTGGGCCAGCTGGTGGCCCAGTTGGTGGTCGGCATGTGCCGTCTCTGCCGCTTGCCAGCTACACCTCGGCCGGCACAGGGGGCGGCACCACACATGCACAGCGTTCCCAGGCAGGGAAAGTCCTTACAACCGGTTGGGTAGTCCTCAACTTACGATCAGTTGGGTAGTCCTCGTCTTACGACCGGTTGGGGTCGCGGCATTAAAAAGGTTGAGAACCACTGCCCTATACCATTTCAGACAAATGGTTGTCCAATCTCTTCTTAAAAACTTCCAGTGTTGGAGCATTCACAACTTCTAGAAGGAAGTCATTCCAGTGATTAATTGTTCTAACTGTCAGGAAATTTGTCCTTAGTTTTAGGTTGATTCTCTCCTAGATTAGTTTCCATCCATTGCTTCTTGTCCGACCTTCACGTGCTGTAGAGAATAGGTTAACCTCCTTTTCCTTGTGGCAGCCCCTCAAATATTGGATCACTGCTATGTCACCCCTAGTTCTTATTTTCATTAAACTACACATAACCAGTTCCAGCAACCATTCTTTATATGTTTTAGCCTCCAGTCCCCTAATCATTTTTTTGCTCTTCTCTGCACTCTTTTTAGAATCTCAAAATCATTTTTACATTGTGGCAACCAAAGCTGGATGCAGCATTCCAAGAGCGGTCTTACCAAGGCATTACAAAGTGGTATTAACACTTCATGTGATCTTGATGATCTTGAACTATACAATTCTTAAAACATAGATTTAATCCCCTAGAATGCCATACCTTTAATCTTATGTTGTTCAACAGGAATAGTACATTTGCAGTTTTGACAATCTTCACTGGTTTTCATGTGTGAAAATGTGTGCTTGTTTAAAGTGAAAAAATATAGCACAGTATCCCACACTCAATCCATAGTCAGAGTTGTTACACTCATTTAGTTTGCTTGTTTTTGTTGGTTTGTGAATCAGTTACTGTGTGGATATTTCTAATCTAGAAATGCTAAGCCTGTTTGGCTAAAGCTTACAAAATTACCACTAATTTATGATAAAATTGAATTGTGGTATATACCCTTTTTTGCCTGATGGTTCCTTCATTCCTTTTCCTGATGCTTCTCCATCAATTAGGCGTCGATAAATTTCAATCTCATTCTCAAGACGGATCTTAATGTCCAGGAGGTGCCTGTAGTCTGCATTCTGACACTCCATGTCTTCTCTGATTTGTTGCACTTGGTTCTCCACACTGCTAATCTTTCCTTGTATTTTCAAGAGTTGGGCACAATATTGACCTTCTGTCTCTGCAAGGGTCCTTTCAAGTGATTGCCTCTGAAAGGGAACAGAAATGCAGGGCTTATTTCTGTACAGTCAGCCCTTCAATAGTTAAGTGTCCAGGTGGGAAGTCCCTTTGTATAAATTTATATTGACAAGAAATATCAGGCTGCTCACACCTAAGTATTTTGAGAAAAGTGATTTTTTGGCAATAGACTGTCATATCCTGAATAAATGCCCTATACTTCTTAAACTTTGGGAGTAATGTAATGTTTATTTGAACTCTTTGTAAGAATTTCAAGCCTGAGCATGGTTCACCAACAAAATAGAGTGGTACAATCCTTTGTACCCTATTCTATTTTATAAGGCTTTTGTTTCTAAAACCATGTGCATGCCAGTATGTTGTTTCCATGGGTTAGGTTCCATCTCAATCTTGTTGAGTTCCATAATCTGAATTGTTGTAACTAGATTGTCATTTTGTTTTTGAATGTTTGGGGGCACTTGAGTATATATAAAGCTTTACTTAAAAAAATAATCTTATGGCCCAGCTTGCCTTTCCTAATGTGATGCCATCTAAGAAAAGTAGCAGGAATTCTCCAGAGGTTCTAGTCAACACACATCTGATAAGCAATTGGCTTTGGATCTTGTGCATTACAGTTCCAACATATCTAGAATTGAGGTAATAATGGCAGTGCCAAGTGTTTACTATTCAGTAGAAGCTGGATGGGGTTGTATAAACCAATCTGCTGCTTGATATGTGAAACTCAGGGCTAGAGCATGTCCAGCCATTGGGCTCTCCAGCCTGTTTGAAGACATCCAACAAGGAAGAAATCCTCTAGCTATTTGGTTCCATAGTTGAGCTACTGTGAAATGTTAACATATGCTTCTTCTACTTTTCTACAAAGATCTGTCCGCCTGTAAATTTTGTTCTCAATTTTCTGCCTAATACATAGGAAGTATTTTCTGGAAATATTCATTTGTTTGATCTTTTTATTCTTTAAATTTGAGAATAAACCGGGAAGAAACTTAGGGTTTATTATCCCAGAATAACCAATATCCAATTGCACTGATAGCATTAAGATCTGTAGATTTCAACTCCCAGAATTTCCCAGTGAGCATGCCAGCTGCAAAATTCTGGGAATTGAAGTTCACATATTTTAAAGCTGCCAAAACCAAAAAACACTGTTTTAAGCAGTGCTTTTTTTCTAAAAAAAAAAAAAAAAAAAAGGTGCCGGAACTCACACATGTCATACAACCTGCCTTGCCTACTCTACAAGGTTCCATCCCAAAAAGGTGGTGGAACTCCATTCTGGGAGTTCTATGAGAAAAAAAGCCCTGGTTTTAAGTATAGGATTTTATAACTTTCTTCAATTTTCTGCCCCCCCCCACAAGTATCAAAATTCAATATCCATAATTTTCAATTAGCATTAAATTAAGAATCAATGTTATAATTATAATGGTTTATTTGGTGATAAAGACTGTCCTTACCAAAGAAAGCTGGGTTTTCATGTCAATCTCCAAACTCTGGAGAATATGTTTCAGGTCTGCAATTTGCTTTTTGTTAGTGGTGGTTTCTTTGGCACTCACGTTGATTGTCGTATTTAATTCTTTACTCTACAGTAATTCAAACATATGATTACATTTGAAATGACAGAAACAAGCACTAAGTCACTGATTGCATTTTTTCCATAAAATCTGCCAGCTGCCATCAGACACAGCATCCTGAGGGGTATCAAAACAAACTATGTATTCAAAGAGCATAGATGTTCAAAACTTCTTAAATGCTTGCTGCTGGTGGTAATGCCATCTTAGTGTACTTGAATCAGTTAGGATGCATGCATTTTTATTACACAGAATTATTGAATTAGAAGGTACCTTGGAGGCCATCTAACCCAATCCTCTCTTTAACACAGGATCAGCTAGGGTGATGTGACAGATCACCATCCAGACTCAGTTTGAAGGCTTGCAGTGAAAACAAACTGATATAATATGGAAACTTGTTTCAGTAGTTAGTAGCCTATGTAGTTATAATATTCCTCCTGATCTATAGTCTGAAAACTTTCTTGAAGTTTTAACCCACTATTCTGTTTCTTTCTTCTAAGGAAAGAAACTCCCCTCTCTCTTCTGTGTGACAACACTTCAGCTATCTGAAAATTTTCTAATTTAATATTTTGAACTGTGGTACCTGGAAGCAGATGTATTATTCTTTGTGGGGTCTGATCAGCAAAGAATGGGGTGGAACAATGACTTCCTGTGATCCAGATTTGTTTGATATGTTTTTATTTTGCCTTTTAAGTTAAGTAACTACAATAATTCAACAATGCTATAAAAATGAGACTAAAAATCTGTAAAAAATTGAGTTGGGCGTGATGGTTGTTGGCTATATAGACACATTTATGCAGTCTCCTTGGCCATAAAAGCTCATTAGGAAATAAAACAGTTAAAATATTGGCATCTAAAACATGAAAATATCAAGAAAAAGCTATAAAGAATGAAATGATTTTGAACCAACCATGGGGCTAAATTATATTGTCCTGGAGTTAACTGGCTACAGCTAGCTATAACTCAGCAGGCCCTGTTAATCTGATGAATGAAGGTACAGTTCCTTGCAGCAAATTTTTATGAGATAGAGGCAGTCCCTTCAGTCTCAAGTTCTTTGCCGCTACTAGTTTGTGCTGATAGAATATTTGGGAGGCTGTACACATTTCTTTCTTTGTAGATTGTGCCCTGCTGTGCCTTCTGTTATAGCAACCTAACTATATAGTTCATTGTAAGCTCTACAAACACCAAAAGTGTATTCTTGTATAGAAAAAATAATAACTTCTAAAAAAGCATGGAAAGGCTTCATTCCTTAGTGAAGCCAGTGCATTAACTGACCTGGCATCCAAAGGATGTTATCACTATAAATTCCTTCATTCTTGGGGAAAATGATCTTAGACATTTTTTAATATTAAAAAACCCCAGTAACATATTTTTAAAATAGAAATCTAGTGCTGGACATGGTACTTGGCTTTGTAGATGTCTAGAGACGTTTCCTCTTTGTTATTACCTTTTCAATGAACCAGGTTTCAGCATCTTTGCGATTCTGCTCTGCCAAAGCTTCATAATCTGTCCTCATCTTGTTGAGAACTGCAGTCAGGTCCACTCCTGGTGCTGCATTTATTTCAACATTTATGTCTCCAGCAACTGTGCCTTGCCAATTCTTCATTTCCTAAGTGCAAAAGACAGTGAGAAGGGGGGAAAAAAAGAGAAAGGAGAGATATTACTCCATTTTTTTTCACTGTACAATTAGTTTGGTTTGCCATTTAAATTTTTTGCATGTAAACCAACTGCCTCACTGTACACATCTTTATATATTAATATTTCCATGCAGGAATTGCAATGGAGAATGCAGTCTAGCAACGTGGACTGACAGCTGTTTAGTCTTTGTTTGAATACTTTTTTTAAAAAGTCCTACAGAATTAAAATTTCAGTAAAGCCCCTTTTCTAATTACTACTTCTGAGAGCCAAACGACTCCTAAATTTAACCATAGTGAATGCCACAAATCACATATTGTGATTACATTTCCCAGAATTTCTTAGAGGACATCAAGTTCCTGAAGGCTAATTAGATGTAATTGTGATATAAACTGCTTTAGAAACCTGGCTACCTTACCTCTTCATGGTTCTTTTTGAGAAAAGTCAGCTCTTCAGTTAGACTTTCAATCTGTATTTCCAAATCACTCTTAGACATATTCAGTTCATCCAGTAATTTTTTAAGACCATTGATGTCGGCTTCCACATTCTGGTGGAGGAACAGCTCATTTTCATATCTTGAAAAAAAAAAAAGAAGAAGACAAGAATATGCTTTGAAAATATGCCAACTTTGGCTATTGGTAGACCAAAATATTGAGAACTTGTGATAGAGACTTATTAATGGCTGGATTATTTGAATATGCTGAGGTCAAATCCTGGTTTTGCTTGCTTTTGTCAGCATTTGCACATTTTTAATTGGTTGCTCTTGGGCTGAAGAACCTACTTCATTCTAAAATCATCAGCAGCTAGTCTGGCATTATCTATCTGTAGAATCGTGCCGGCATTCCGAATACTTGCTGTGATGATCTGTGTGGAAGGAAGATAAAAAAGCATTTTAGCAGGTTTATTTGCATTTTATAAAAGTGGATAAACTGAATCAGAAAAACCAAAGATACGATATATCTTATATTAATTTTTACAGAAAATCTAATTTTAAAGTAGTGCTGGCTTCCTCACCTGCTTGATTTGTTGAATTCAACTCCCAACATCCCAACGGCATGGAGATATTTACAGTCCACCACAACTGGGTGCAAATTTATTACAGGAATAATAATATTACAGGAATAAAGATAAATAGACTTCCATAATTTGTTCCTCAAAATAAACCTAGTCTGCTGTAATAGTGTGAATTGCACATTTCAACATTACCAGAGTGGGAAAGGCAATAAAACTGCATCTTGTAGCAAGCCACAAGTTCACTGTCCCTGAGTTAGGAATTATATGTTAAACTTTGTATTATGCTAAATATATAATGTAAAAACCTCTGTTGGTGTTGATTCAATTAAAACAGTACTTCTCATATTTTTTCCTTCATTACTCCAAACTGCTTATAAAAAAAATATTTATTTAAATATCCCTGTTGTGATGGAATAACGGCTTTCTGTGTTGTTACCCAAAGGATAACCACTTTTACCCAATGTTAGGTAATTCATCCAGATTTGGGAAATAAGCTTCAGTCCTCAAACTGCATTTGTGTACAGCATGTTAGGAGGGAAAATTTGAATTCTTCTTTAATGAAATACTTTGTGATAAGAAGAGTTTTCCTGAACAACAATTAAAAGGTGGCAGATCAATTTTGGCAATGACAAAAGGGGATTTTTATTGACAAGAGGAGAAGCAGAGATTAAAAGTCCTTGCAGACTGTGGTTCATTCCCTGCAGTAATACTGAAGAAATCAAATATACATAGGAACCTGCATATTATATTCTTTAAATCTATTTTAATTTTATCAGGATACCAACATAAAAATTACATGAAACAAAGCACTATGATCACCTGAAGTATCCAAATGAAGACAATTTATATTTGTAGATACTGTCTTAGTTGAGAAGTGGTTAGTAATTATATATTTCAAAATATTATTTAAATTATATTAAATTAAATCAATAAAGGGAGAGGAAGAAAATGATAAATGAGATGGTCATAATAATTATCCTGTAAAATTCCCATTAGCTTATTACATTTTGCATTTGCAATGAAAGATTATCTTATCTGAAATTATTTGGGTTGGTAAAACTATGTAAAAGAAGGAGTTTGGAAATAAACTTGCAGTAAAAGCAAAATAAAACAAAAGTTTGTTCTATTTTTCTTTTCTGACTTCCAGTATGTTTCAGACTAAAAAGAGGCCCAAAACAATAGACATTAGGAAAATGTAACATTTATACAGATTATGATATTTTTATAAAAACTGCGCTTTTAAAAAAATGAAACAAAAATAGTTTTACAATAACTGTAAAATCTTCAAACTGTAATAAGTTTAAACTAAAAATACCGCAATCCCCTGTGATATTGTATAAAATTGTTCAAATAAAATATTTTCTTGAAAGAAAGGAAATTCTTGGGCAAGGAACAAGGCAATTAACAAAAATTGAAAAATTAATAGGAGAAGCAGATTGTGAAACCTTGTATTTCCTAAACTGATGTATTTCCTAAAACATATATTTGATACTGGAATCAAATCAATCTGTCTGTCTGTCTCTATGGACTTGGATTGGATTCAATAGACAATTGGATTTATTTAAATCCTTTCTCTCATATGAAGGAAGCTGCTTTAAAAGTAGCTCATAGGTGTGTAACTTGTAAAATAAACTAATTTTACTGTTTTGTTGAGAGGGCTGTTATGGTAAAGTATCTATGTACTTTCAGTTTGCAAATAAATAAGTGAAAAAGTACACAGCTAGTTTTGCTACTAATTTATGATAATTGAAAACTTTACAAGATAAGCCATGAATAGCCCTTAAAACTAACAACCATCTTTCAATTATTGGCAGACATTGACATGATCTAAGTGTTGGCCAATTAATAGGTAGTTTGAAAAAGTTTGGCAAGTTGACATTGTATATGCAATGTATATCTAAAACAGTGGTTCTCAACCTGTGGGTCGGGACCCCATTTGGGGTCGAACGACCATTTCACGGGGGTCGCCAAACAACGCAGTCCGCGTTTTCCCCCTTTTCCTTAGCTGTGCTACTCCCTTTTATTCTATTGGCTTTTGAAAGCCAATAGAATAGAGTCTCTTGAATAGAGTCTAATTCTATTGGCTTTCAAAAGCCAATAGGAATTTTCCAGGCTGTCTCTGCCCTGCTGAGCCCACCAAAAGTCCGATTCTGCAAACGGTGCTGCACAGTTGAGTAGTCCTCGACTTATGACTGGTTGAGTAGTCCTCGACTTACAACTGGTTGGGGGGTCACGGCATTAAAAAGGTTGAGAACCACTGATCTAAAAGAACAAGTAGCTTGAACTGAAATCTCAGATTGCATGATAAAACATACAGTCTACTTTTTAGCAGAGACTCTAACTATATAAACAAAAGGCAAAGAGAACAGAGAGACTTTCCCCCTCTCATTTTCATTATTATAGAGCTTTGTGAAATTGATTGATAGTATGTTCAGGACAGATTAAGAAAAGATATGCAACCTATAAAAAAATCTTTTATTTGGGAAAGGGCTGTTTTTCCATTCACAGGAACTTTTGACTCCTCCATCTTCCACAGGTATTCACGATGGGAGTGGCAAGTGATGAAACATGCCACATACTTGCATTTTACACAAATATGAAAGGGCCGGACTTGCACTGTGGCATTATGACACATGTTTCATCATTTTAGTGTCATAGTGATTAACAACAAATCCTAAATCAGTCTTCTCATAAACTTAATAGTTCTCATGAATAATCTAAACTGGAACTCATCATAACATTTCTAGCTATTTTCTAGTCAGTCTCATTATTCGTACAAAAACTTGGCATTCCTTATTTTATCTGTTTGTGATAAGTATTTTTATTTCATTCTGCCTCCCACCCTCTGGACTCAAGGCACTATTTTATAACAGACGTATGATTGCAGTTGTTGGAAAAAGCATCTAGCTACAAAATTATGTTATGCTTTTTATGAAAATGTATTTATATGAAGAATAACATACATAGGGTTTTCTTTTATTTTTAATTTACACTGTTGAAAAAGGTTGAGTGGAATAGGATGCTGATGCTTTTTTCTGTGAAGAAGGGGAATTTTGTTACTCTAAAAGCTGTCTTAACTCCGAGGATGAATTAAAATTAAAATTAAAATTGAAATTCAATTTTTGCCCTCTTTGGTTAATTGGTTGGAGAGAAAAGTAATCAGTTCATAGTACTGTACCTCTCTATCTCAGCATTCTGAGGTAGGCAGCAATGAAAAAATCATGAACAGCTTTAAAAGGTTTTGAAGGAATTAGGAGGTAGAATTATGCTATAAATAGCTCTCAAAAGAATGCAGTCCAGTTTTTGCTGAAGAATCTTGGAAAATCTTTCTCCACTTTCCCTTCACCATGACAAAACACAATCTGATAACACACTTTTCCCATTGTGTCCCCATCATATTGCCTTTATTTTCCCTAAGCTCATGAATGAGATAGCTTTAAGTTGTCCTTAGCTCAACCAGTGTTAAAAATAAGATTCTCCTCCCACCTAATTCCAATATGCAAAGGTAAATCAAATGTGTATAAACTGTTGAGCTTTATAAAAAATTGCCAAATGGCTATAGTGACGAGGAACAGATGTAATAGAGGCGGATGGGAGACTGGCAATGGGGACAGCAGATGTCAGGCTGGATGGATAGATGACATTCCAAATCATTCACCTACTCCAATTACTCTCTCTCTCTCTCTCTCTCCCTCTCTCTCTCTCTCTCTCTCTCTCTCTCTCTCTCTCTCTCTCTCTCTCTCTCTCTCTCTCTCTCTCTCACACACACACACACACACACACACACACACAAAGGCACACACACCAATTTCAACAGAAACAGAATTTTGTGGGATGAAGCTCCCAAACACTGATAGATTCTGGCATGTGGCTCTGCAGATTACATTGTCTGTTTGCTAAACAACCTGAACTGGTAAAATAATTCCTTATTTGATTTTTCAAAATCCATTGAAGAACTGGCTTACCTTATTTCGAAGGTCTTCAATAGAAGAATTATATTTGCTATCATTGTAGAGTCCTTCATTAATATGTGTTGCAGATTTCTGATACCAATTTCTGATTTTTTGCTCAAGATCACCATTTGCCTCTTCCAAAGCATGCACTTTAGCCAGGTAGGAAGCCAAGCGGTCATTTAAATTCTGCATGATTTCTTTTCCCCCTCCAGCTAGAAGACCAACATCACCACCAGCAGAACTAGAGTTGTAGATGTGGAAGCAACTACCAGTGCCACTACCACCAGTTCTACCCCATCCTGATCCAGAGTCCCAAACTACCCCACTACTAAAGCTTCTGGTGCTGGATCCTCCACCAGACCCATATATACTGCAGCTAGAAAGTTTAAGAGGTGCCCCACTACTGCGAGAGGAAGAAGTCTGCCTAGATCCACAGGCAAAATAAGACATGATGTTCAGTAGGTTTCAAGAAGAGTATGAAAATGAGCCAGTGACAATTAAGAAGAACCTGAATAATAAAGAATAATCTCCAAGCTTTTATATGTCAATTTTTAAGGGCGTGTTCTTTCATTGGAATGTCATTTCATACCTACATTGTTTGGCCAATTTATCATTTCAAACCCGTTTGACGGATGGCTATTAATAATGAGACCTGATATTCCATCCTGCTGATTTCCCCTTGGGCTAATTGTCATTTTTTCCTTTTTTTTTTTAAGGTGGAGAATGGGTGGATTTGACCAGACCAAAACTTTCATTAAGTTTTCAACAAGATTGAGTAATTATCTACATCTCAGTCTTTCCATCATTTTAAAAGCTCATTGTTAATATACATATTTTCAGATATATGTGCATTTATGAAGTCAAGTCTTTCATAATAGGAGGGTGTACAAACCTTTTTTGAGGAGAGTGTTTTCTCTTTGTTGTTTTTTCACCCTGGGTGTTGGTACAAAAAGCTATGTGACTTGGTTTATTTCTGGAAAAGCATCCTTACGTTATTTTAATGTATTTTTTTTGTTGTGTGAAAGCTATTTCAGTAAGAACTTTGTTAAATACCAGCGGTTTTATTTCTTGCCATTTTTTCTTTCCTTTTCATTTTGTTAATGATCCAGCAGATGAAAGACATTTCAATAGCTAGCTTAATCAAATGGAAAAAAATATAAAAGTTTTGACTAAAAGCTCACAATTGAAAAAAGTCAAGCAAATAAGGAGATTATTTTTTATTACATCAAGTAGTCTTGAAAATACAAATGATATCTCCTATTTAAAAGCAGTGGTTAATTTCTGAGAAGAGCCAGTCAGAAGGTTTTGCAAGATACTGAGTATTAATATTAGAATAAATGTAGCCTAGGCCTAGAAAAGGTGAAAAATTACTGAAGCATATTTTCTTTAACCTATGTCAGACTCAGACTTCATGGTTCTTTTGCCACAAAGCTCCAATCTTATTTTGGATTCTTCACAATGCAACAATAACATTGCAATAATATATATCAATATCCCAAAATGGCTATTATATAAATTATCAGAAACAAGGGTTTCTTATATCTCTGAATTGCTCAGAATATACTCCATGATAACTATGTTCTGTGTGAGCATTTAATGGATTTTAAACCTATGTTAATCTTGAGTTAATTCAGCAAAACCATTTTATATACTCAGTATTGAAGCAAGCCCTGTGCAATAATCAATTATGTTCAAAATTAATATGATCAGTTATAATAAGGATATTGAGCTCTGGATGTTCAATGCAATCTTTAAATGTGAGTCCGTTTATACAACATAAAAACTTTATATGTTTCAAGAAGCCTATTAGCTTCATAAATGAAATAGACTCCCTGCAGCTTGTTTAACGAACTATGCATTTCATAACAGATTTATAGGTGAATTCTAATCAAGCATGAAAACTACAGATATGCACTGTTTTTAATCTAGATTTTAAAATTAAATATCCATCATTTCAATTCCTAGTCTGGCAATCTCCAGGTAGATTATTCCATAACAATCCAAATATCTTAATTGTCTTCAGAATGGGGATTCTGTGAGATGCAACACAGAAATCTGAAGGGCATCCAGGTAAGGCTCTTATAGCACAGTCCAGATCTCAAAATATGATTATGTACTTTATGACCAGCTCTTATTCACCATATAATACAGGATTCCCTAGTGTTATATTTATCAAAGGTCATTAAGCCATAAATCATGTTTTACAAATAGCAGTGATGGTGTTCATGGCACAGGAAACCAAAACCAAATAGATCACAAAATAGTTTAAAGAACCCAGTTACTTTTGTCACCCTTTTTTGATTCTGAGTAAATGTAGTGGTTATTACTCAGTTTAGACAGTTGACTATAACTTGAGCAATATCTTGGATATAAAAGCAAGAATATTGCTCTCATTCAGACTTTTCAGCCACAATCCACAGATAAGATGCTCTAGAGCAGTGTTTCTCAGCCTTAGCAACTTTAAGATGTTTGAACTTCAATTCTTTCAACATGTTGACTGGAAAATTATAGGACTACAATTTCTAAGGTTGAGAAACATTGCTCTAGAAAGTACTATTGATCCAAAGTGGAACATTTGACTCACATATATTTTATGTTTCTTTTGATCCACATATATTTTAAAGGCTTATAGAATATAGATTGCAGTTATTCAAATTATGACAGCTTTCCATAAAATGCTGTTTAATTGTTCAATAAGATTACTGATATGATATTAATTATAATTTTGCATGAATGGACCACCATAAATCAGAATCCTGGCAGATAGAATTTGGATAATTAACGTGATTGCTACCTGATAAAACAAATATCTCTGTCGTGCATTTGACTGGACTCTAATTTTTGCTGCTTTATTGATGACTGGCAACTACTGACATACACTGTGAGCAATACAGTTTATAAGTAAGTAATATGAATCTTGAAAGTTTTTGCTGCAACATGCAATGTTTATTGAGGAATGCCAAAAAAGAAATCAACATTTTCATTCTAGAATTGCAAAGAAGAAATACACTCTGAAAAGAGTTGCAGAAGCTAAGAAAGGAAGATGATCCTATTTGGGAAAGTAGCTGTCTGTTTCTATCTGTGTGCTGTGCTTTGAAAGACTTTGTAGTAAAGCTGAGGCTGCTTATTTAATGTGCTTTTCTTCAACAGATTGAACACGACTTGAGACAACTTGGTCACCAATTCTGTCTTCCACTATGGTCCTGATCACTCTTGTTTTTTGGGGGTCTGTAAAGAAAGAATTCAGAGATTTAGGAGAAAAATAATTATTTTTAATTCTAAGTCAATTTCACAGGAAAAAAAGGTGTGGTTTAGGAAAAGGGGAAGCTGTCCAGTGTTGATTTATTGAGTCTAGTTTGTTTTACAGCAAAGAAGAATCTTTCACAATCTCATTCTGAAAATCTAAGGATTGAACCTGGCTTTTTGTGCAGGAAATTCATAGCCCTGTACTGCATTTCAATCTTCCCCAAATAAATCTCAGTAATTAAATAAAATATTTATGACTAAAATATTGGAAGCTAACTCCATCAACAAAAATTTGTACAAAGCTTGATAGTCTTTTGGCCATCAATATGTTTTAGAAATGATGGGAAAGGAATGATAGTTGACCCCGATAATTCCTTTTATAGAAGAAGATCTTATAACTTTCATTTTGGATAAAGGGTTGATTAAAAGATTATTTTTTACCAAAAAAACCCCATGTCCACTACTCTTAATATATATATATATAGTATATATAATTTGCCTGATGGAGCCAATTAAGTGCAACAGCTGGCCCATTCTGATGGCATTTCTTTATCATTTTGAAGCAGTCCAGACACGCTGAATAATATTTTCTAAGGAATCCCAGAGCTAAACTAATTTGAGATTTTTTTAAAAAAAAATCCCAGTGAAAGCAATGGCAAATAAATGCCTTATAGTCGACTAGTAAGCTAAATAGGCACATCCATTTAAATTGAAAGTTAGGTAGCCCTTAATTTTGTCTAAAATATATATTGGCTATTAGAATAGGGAAAATCTGGTGTCCTAGAATCAGTCTGCAAATATTACATATTGTTTATGTATTGATTAATTAATGAAATCTAACATATTTTTAAAATGTGTTGCACTTTAATATTATCCAGGCATGTACCTTAAGGATACTGAAATAAACATTACAGTACCCATCTCAACTCTTCGTGTAGAAGGGAAAACTGAGCTAACACATGAAGAAAATAGGAATTCCATTTGCCAGATCCATGGTTTCAGTATCCACATTGTACAGGGATAATCCATAATATATATCTCATGGAAAAAACACTTTGGTTTTGGGAGTTTCTTTACTTTCAAGTTCCAAATATTTGCTGGCCTTTATCTTGCGCATTTCTACGCCATATGTACATTACAAAAACTTGTAGTGTAAGTTTAGGTTTTTGCAATTCTTTTGTTTTAATAGGGAAAAAAATTAACATTTTTATGTTTCAATGGATAGCAAGATAACACTGTTTATCAAAATATGGAACTAAATATATATAAAATAAGCAAAATGTATTACCTCTGGTATTGTTTCCAGATCCTAATTTATCTGTCTGTCTAGAATCTCCAGAACCTTTGGACTGGGACTGAGCGGTGGCATGTTCTTGTCTTTTAAACCTTTGATCTGCAGATTCCCCACTTCTAGATTGAGAACCAGAAGGTCCTGATGGTGATTCCCTGGCTCTTGAATCTGAAGATCCCAAGGCTTTAGATCCAGAACTGAAAAATGATTGGTCTCTAGATTTTAAACCTTTGGATTTAACTTCTGAAAGTTGTCTCATGTCTCTTCCTCCTGAAGTTTTATCAGCACTTTCAAAATTATTATAAAAGTAGAGAGAGAAAGAGGAAAAAAAACTGTAAAATGTGATTCTTTTAATTTCAGTTTTTGGGTAGAAATGATCAATGCAATTTACTGTATCTTTTTTTATTGATTGGGGTGGGATGGGACAGTTCATTTCTATTTCATGTTTTAAAATTGAAAATACCTTTTATAATTTAAAATAACTAGCAGATGAGAGAGGCTACCGTGCTCTGTTCTCAATCGTCCAGTATAGAATGATATTAAAATTAAGGAAAAATGAAACATTAAAACATCTGAGAAAGAGTCTTTGATGAGTGTTTGAGGAACTACAGGTTTGCAAATACTGATTGACTCTAGCCTACAACATCTTCAGTATGGCTATTAGACAAAATTTATTGTAGATCACCCACATCTGAAGTGGTATACATTTTGTTTTTTTTTCAGGGAGAAACTCAGGTTAGGCAAAATAATTATTTTTTTTAAGAAATACAGTATTCTCCAAATTTTTCTTACCTTTCACTTCCATCAAGGAGGCTTCGGTAAGTGTCAATCTCATTTTCCAAACGGATCTTAACATCCAGGAGCTGTTCGTATTCTCGGTTCTGACACTCCATGTCATCTCTTATCTGCTGTACTTGGCCTTCCACACTGC